TGAAAACCAGTTTTTACATTTACGAATAGTCTTCTAAACTAAACTTTACACTAAAAAGATGAAAATAATAAATTTTCAATCTAGAAAAGTGTGAATGTTTGCATGTCATTAGTTGGACAAAAAAATTTAAGCCAGTGAAATATAAACTTTCGGACTTTTTAAGATTGAAACTATATAAATACAATCTTTCTAGAGTAAAGTTGAAGCCCGATTTTTAACAGTGTATCTTCGGCTCGCGGTGTGCCGGGATCTATCCCCGGTCCCTTCAATTTGTTTTCAAAACTGTCTTCACAATGTTAGATTCCAGAAAAGTAAATTGGTTGAATATGAAGTTAGAAATTAAAAAAGTTTAATTGTTTTTTTATTTTTATGTGACCTTGACAGTGAAAAGGGGGCATGCGTGCGAAAAAATTATTTTTTTATTGATTGGTGATTCTGATAGGAAAAAGTTTTTATTATCAGAATCACCAATCAATAAAAAATCGATTTTTTCGCACGTAAGCCCCCTTTTCACTGTCCAGGTCACATATATTAAAAAAATTTTAAAGCATTTATTTTTAACTTCGATAAAATTATTTTTATTTTTTAACATATTGGCAACATTGCACGGCAATATTGCAGCAACATTGTACGAATATTAAGTGATATTTGGGTACTAATACTGATTTATTAAACTATATTTCAACGATTTTCAGTCGGTTTCGTATTAACAGCATTTATACTTACTAAATTAATACAACTACACTTTATTTAACAGAAAATATTAATAATTAGTGAATTTATTGTAAAATATATAAGGCTTTCCCATGAAGATACTGTGATTCCTTATGTAAAATTGGCGCTTTAAAAGTGAAAAAACAAAAAAGTCAGTTATGAAATTAGTTTCTGCCGTAATTCAGGGGTCGCTGATTACAAATCTGTTATTAGTAAATTGTATTGATTTTTTATTTTCCTGTCCGCCATATTGGATCCGTTATTTTGAATGTTAAAAAACTGACTTTAAATTCGCAACCAGCGACCCCGAAAACCCCCGAGTAACGATTTTCAAGCAAATATGTTTAATTTTTTAAAATTCGTCCGCCATTTTAAATTTTCCAAATCTGACTTTGTAATCAGCGACCCAAAAAACCTAAGAATATCCAGTAATACTAAAATTAAATTAATTACTTTTTTTGAACTGTACACTCAAATTTGTCTTGTCGAAAAAGGTGTCACGACGCAACCTTTTGTGGGCTATTTATGTACCCTAGAGTGTCAAAAGATTAAATATATTTTGCAATTATATTTGCAAAATATTACAATTATAATTTAGAATTAAAATATTGAATATCCTGCTAATAAATCTTGTTTTTTAAGGAAATTAATTATCTGGGTCCCCGGACCTAGCTCAGGCACGCACGTCAAAAAATAAACTCAGACACGTGAGGGTTAATCAACTTGGGGGAGTTAATTATTGTTTCTGCAAACGTATAACTAAGTTTTGTTTTGATTTTTATGAAATAATTCAGTTTCATTAAGGGTTCAGTAGTGCGGTTTATTTGATGTTTATTGTTTACGTTTGATCTCTAATTAATTTCACTCAAAGTCATGGATACTTTTAACATGCAAAAAGAATTCTAAATAAAATTAAATGCGTTGCCCATTAAAGATACCTCTGTTATCATAAGTAGTGAAAAAGTTTATAATGAATTAATAGAAAAAGTGGTAGAAGCAAAAAAATAAAAGTAAAAAGACTGAAAGTGATTATAGGCGCTTAAAAAAATTTGACATATTAGCAACTGGTGATGAAAAAAATTAATACTTCAAATAAATAATAGTGAAAGTGAAAGTATCAAATATTTTGTGCATAATAATGAAATTTTTGATTTATTGAAAGTGGCACATACGATTACTGAGCCAATTTTAACAAAAGAGATTAATGCACGCGGGCAAGTCGACCTTATTAATATATCGTTCAGTAAAGATGGTGCTTTTAAATTTACTTTTAACTATCAAGATCACTTGACAAAATTTACAATACTAAAGCCCCTAAAAACAAAAACAGCAGTTGAGGTGTGTAATAATTTACTTGATATCTTTTGTACTTTCTGTGCTTCTTCAATACTTCAATCTGATAACGGATAAAATTCGTTAATTGTGTTATAAATGAATTAAAAATAATGTGGCCAGGCTAGAAAATCGTACATGGTAATCCCCGCCATTCTCAAAGCCAAGGAAGTGTCGAAAGGTGCAACAGGGATGTCGAAGAAATAATTAGAGCGTAAATGATAGACAATAAAACTACGAAGTGGAGTGAAGGTCTATGTTTCTGTCAGTTTCAGAAAAAAAATGGTTTACACTCTGGACTTGGACAATCACCATTTGAAGCACTTTTTGGAAGAAAAGCCAAAGTAGCTTTGGCAGGTAGTAATTTACCAAATGCAGTAATTGGAACATTAGAAACTGAAGAGGATTTGGAAAATATTATAAATAACATTTTTGAAGATGGAGAAAATTTTAAAGAAACTTCTGAGTCTACATCACAAGCCATAATAAGTAAATGCCATGAAAATATTAACGAAAATAAGCGGTTGGCTATTGATGAACTTGAGGAACAAGATAAACGCTTGTTGGAAACTCTTTGGAGAAAGGGAACAATGTTACCATTCTTATACCCGATATTGATAGAAGTAAAAGTAATCTCAGAAATCTTGTTGGTATATTTAACATTTTTTTATTCATAATAAAATTTAATTGTAATAAGTAATAAGTGTTATTGTTGACGTAACGGAAGACAATTATTATAAAGTGGGCACAAGAAGCGGAATAATTGCGCAAATATTTAGCAGGAACCAATTAGCGCCAACGAATACAGATTTTTTAAAAATTGAGAATGTACCGAACATGACAATCTCAGTCAGATCTGCAAACACTAAGGCTTCACTCAATGGAAGGCAAGGATTTGTAAGATGCTCGTGTGTGACAAAATGCACTACTAAAAAATGTGCATGCAGGAGATAAGGATATTTGTGCAATTCTAAGTGTCACCATTATTTAACTTATACAAATAAGTAGTTGAACATTTATCACAATAGTGCATGTACAGACCTCGTATTGTAGAAGTATTTAAAATTTTTAATTTTTTGTCTTTGAAATAATCTTTTTAAAAAACTAAAGTTTATTTAATTAGGGGAATATACTTAAGGTTGGACACTTCGCTTTTCTTAAAATAAGAACACTAGCGCCATGTATGCACGGACGTGTCGAAGCTTCTCGTAGTGGAACCTACCTTTTTTGCCATTACATTTTTAAAGGATGAAAAGTAGCGTCTGCTGTGACGTCGGTGCATTTGTAGAAACGAAAAAAGTTTTGTGAGCGATGTGATTAAACATAAAAAATGAATAAAGAAAACAAGAAATCAGCAAGGTAAGTTTATTGCATGTATTCATGATTGAAGGAAAAATGAAGGGAAAAATCGAATCGCGAAACATGTCTGGTTATGGTTAGGACAATTCGAAAATGTTACTTCTACTTAAGGTTGGACACTTTATAAACTCAGGGTTGGACACTTTGTTAATTATGAAATTGACATAATTTGTAAATAAATATACAAATAAACATTGACACACACACACAGCATATATTCTGCCAAAGATATTAGAAAAATTATAATAAAGTTAAAAATGAAGTTAAAAATCGTTTTCAGTAACGTTATAAATAATATTAATTATCAATTAAAAATAATAATAATGTAAAAATGAAAAAAATAAACATAAAAAACGTTTTCAGCAACATTATAGATGTTATTTTATTTTTTACACATAATTCGCTTCGATTTTCATAAAGTGTTCAACCCTGAGTATATTCCCCTACTAATAGTAATAATAAATTAAAACAATTATTAACTAATTAAAATTCTTAAGAATAAAATTTTTTTAATTGTTTAGGTAAAACTTCTTCTTTTCGGTATAAAAAGTTTGAAATAAATAAAATAAATTTTGTAATAAAAAAATGTTTAAGAAAAGTCACTGAGATGTGGTACTAAACCTGAGATAATAAAAATAAAAATTTCCGTGGAATCAGTATTTCACAAAACCTCGGAAGTAAACGAGGTAAGTAAAGTATCAGGAAGCTTAAAATTTTTTATTGACAAATGGTATGAAATGACGACAGATCATGTGATCTTGCAAACTTGTAGGCGCTGATTTCGAATTTAAAGTCAGATTTTAAAAATTCAAAATGTCGGCTCCAATATGGCGGACTTACAATAGAAAATTGTTTGGATTCTCATAAATTTAAACAATTGAAATTGTTCATATTTATGAACAATTAGAATATTTTATGATTTTACGTCGGCATATTAAATCCGCCATTTTGAATTTTTAAAATCTGATGTTAGATTCATAATCAGCGACGCCAAAAACATTTATATGTGCAACATTATGACAAAACATTTAGAAATAACTTCGACATTGCCAAACGTTAACCATAATCTTCAAACGCGTTTTTCTCGAAACCGTGTTTTCTGACATGGTGTGCATGATTAAAAACAATTTATTGCACCGCTCGGGCTCAAATTTTCAGGATTTTTTTACAAATAAGTGGCTATCGCATAAACTAGGATTTTAATTTTCCTCAACATTTACACATATTTTTAACCAATTTAAGTTGTAAAAAAGGGTTAAAAATTAAACTGGCCGACATTTTGAGTTTTTTGGTCCGTAATCAAAAAAAGTTTTTTATTAAAATTTAATATGTAGGGTTATTTAAATGTACAAAAAGTTTAAAATAAAAATTGATGAAGAAGAAATTCTTGAAAAAAGGTCGTTTGTATGAGACCACCCTCTTAAACCGTTTTGTAGTCATCAAAAAAGCAGCGGTAGCATAATTCTCGACGGTAGTGTATATTGAAAAAGTGCGTTTCTTTCTGTATTGTACCCATATCTATCAATAAATATTCGGGAGTTCTGAAGATTTGAATCGTCAAAGATACAATGCACTAATAATAATAGTACACCTACTTGAGGAAAGATTGCTGTAAGTTCGGCCACAGCTACCCGTATTTTCTCTGCACAAGGTACAAACGTTTCTCTGCGGCTGGGGTCTTGCATTGCCATCCACAATTCTTGGATTCGTTTTGTAACTTGACCTGTTCGCCTGGTAACTTCTTCACGAGGAGGACGATTTGTTCCACTATATTCCCAAAGGCTCTGAGTTGTACATGGTCGTGTAAAAGAATCTGATTCTCTCTTTGTCTACAATAAAAAATACTACCTGACAATTCATACAATCATACAATAAAGAAGGCGCATGATTAAACACCAAATTTGTTTTTTCGAATTTTTATTTTCTCGAAAATCGTTTTATTTAAAAGGAATTGACTATAATTTTCTTAATTCGAATTGTCAGATTATATAATAAAAATACTTTCGAATTATTATTTGACAGAATTTTTTAACTTCGAAAGAACAATTTTTATAATTTTCAATTTACCGTATAATTATTTCTCATAATTATTATTATTGTAGTGAATTAGTGTTTTTCATAATTTTTATTTTTCCAAAAACCTGTTTATACTATTTTTGATTTTACATAATTACCATTTTGTATAATTTTTTTTTCTTCGAATTACCATCTTATATAATAAATATTTTTTCGAACAATTATTTGTTCTAAAATGTAATTCACCAAATTTATACTTTTTCTATTTTTAAAAGTAACGATTAGCTATTTTATATAATTTTCAATTTACCGAATAATCATTTCTCATAATTTTTATTGTAGTGAATTAGTATTCTATTTTTAAAAGTTACGAGTTGCTATTTTATATAATTTTCATTTTACCGATTTTCCATTTCACATAATTTCTAAATTTTCTAATTATTATTTTTCCGAATTTTAATTTGAACCAATTATTAATATTAGAATTATTTCTTTTGCGAATTACCATTTAACATAATTTTAATTTCCCCTAATATTTATTTATTCTAATCCCTATTTTCTCGAATCGTTATATGCCATAATCAGAATTTTACAGAAACTCCATTTGCCCTAACATACTTCCGGTCAATTTCAGTACTGTAGTTTCCCATCAACATTAATTTCTGGAATTTTTGCGCAGGGTGGCGAGTGAAAAATGTTTTTGAAATTCCCTGACTTTTCTTTGACCAAAAACAAAATTCCCTCTTATAAACCTATACATATTCATTAATCATAAAAGCAATTATTATTTTTGTGTAAAAGAAAATTTGAAATTAATTGTTTTAAGCATTTTATTAAACTTTGGTATGATTTTTATTTTATTACTTATAATTCTATTAAATATTTCAAATAATATAAAACATCGAACAGTTATGAACATTTTTTACAGTAAAATTGAAAAACAAATAATTATGATGTTAACCTTCTCGTAAATCTTGAATTTCATTATTTAATGCATCAATTTTTTTTGAGAATTTTCTAATAATTTGGCTTTCTTTGCCTCTAGTTCTTTCACTTGAAGATTGATGAGTTTTTTTTAGACACTAATGTATTTGCCGCTTCCGATTCTTTTCGACGTTTTTCATTGGCTTCCTTAAAACGCGAATATGCGTTTCGAAGTGACAGAATCATTTCTTTATTAACATTGAATTCTTCGATTCCGCCGAGACTATTCACTGCATCATAGACGATTCTTCTAGCGACTAAAGTTTCCTTCTTCATATTTTCAATCAAACATTCTCCGTTAACAGAAAAGCCGCGTTCGACGATGGCATTTCCATGAGAAAATACATTTACCATTTGCATCACATTTCTTATGTTTTTACTGGGTGTGAATTCATCAAAAATGTTTGACCAAAAATGATCCAAACGCTGAGTTTTTCTGATAAAATCTTGCAAGTCCTTTTGAACTTTTGGTATCTTACATACATTTTTAAATTCACGTGCAGCTTTTTCAGCGACATTACCGTCAAGCCAATTTTTTTCAACCAGAGTTGAAGGGTAGAATGACAAAAGGGGTCAAGCGCCAATTTATCGAAAATGAGGTTTTTGCATAAAAAAATCAAGAAAATTCATTTACACATTTCTGTAGAAGGATTTCCTTTTTTATTGCGTATTTAAATCAGTTTTTAATAAAAATTAAATTAATAAAATAGCCTCAAATTTACTTTATTGCAACCCAATTGAAAAACAAAAGAAAGTGGTGAGTCAATAATATTATGCATAACTTAACAAATTTAAAAACATTGCTTTTTACAAATCGAAAGTGCCTCGCAGATGCGGAAAAAATCTATTAATAAAAAAGATATTGTTAAAAAGAAACGATATGAAGGTGAATTTATTATTATTATTTGCATAGAAAAAAGCCCACGGTCATAGACCATCAAAGGGCACTACAAAAAGATTTACAAACTTATAAAATACTTGTAATAACAATTTTTGCGTAGAAAAATATAACATTAAATACTATCATTATATAATGTTATAAAAAAGAAAAATAAAATAAAAATAAAATAAAAAATAAAATTGGCTATCTGGCATTATACGCAAATTTAAAGTATACCAAGTAAAAGATAATATTGTAGCATTTACCGCAAAAAATTAAATATAGCTAAATTGCACAATGTTGCTCCTTTTATCTTATTGATTAAATATAATTTAATAGTATCCTTTTGAAGGATGAAAGCGACAAATTAAATAGATCTATATCAGTCTCATCTCGAAGACACATAATATTAATGATATTGCAACCACTGTGTATTGGCGCATTAAAACCATTAGAAGACGCAGGCATTGGTAAAGAGAAAGGTTGATAATAGCGTGACTGCAATCGAGGAACTCTAAAATTGATGCACTCTAACAGGCTTGAACACTTAATTTGATTATTTATGATTTTGAAAATGAAAATTGCCTGGTTCATCAAACGTCTCTCAGATAAAGTTAGAAAGTCAAATTTTTTACACAGTTCGATAGAATTTGAACCACGCTGCGGATAAATTTGAGTTTTTCGAAATGTCAAGTACTTCAAAAACCGTTTTTGAATTTTTTCTAAAGAGTTAATGTATTTATCAAAGGTAGGATTCCAAATTATTTGGGCGTAGTTAAATAACGAAAGAACAAACGCATTGTATAAAATAGTGAACGATTGTTGATTTTTGAAGCACTTGAAACTTCGTATCAAACATCCCAGGGCTTTCGTTGCTTTTAGTTCGGTTTTTTGAATATGTAAATTGAAAGTCAGTTTAGAGTCGAAAACAACGCCTAGATCAATAATTGTATCTTTCCTTGATAATATTTTATTGTGTAAGGAATAATCGTAACTGATGGTGGATCCTTTTCTCGCAAACGTGACAACATAGCATTTTTTGAAATTTACTTTTAGTTTATTTAATTCACACCATTCTTCAAATTTATTCAGATTGGATTGTAAGAAAATTGCGTCATAAATGGATTCGATCTTGTGAAAAATTTTTAAATCATCTACATATAGCAATTTCGTAGTTGAGAGGGTGGATGTTACATCGTCTATAAAAATATTGAAGAGAAGGGATCCTAAGACTGACCCTGGGGGGACACCGGAAGTCGGAAGGAAGTGGTGAGAAGAAAATCCATTATAATGGACTGTATTCGGTCTGTTAACTAAATAGGATTGAAGAAGAAAGACTAAATTTTGAGGCAGGTTAAGATTTGAGAGTTTGGAAAAGAGGAGTTTAAGATCAATGCTATCAAAAGCCTTTGAAAAGTCCGTGTATATTACATCGAGTTGGGCACCAACAGAGATTGCATTATTAATAGACTGAGTTATACACACAAGATTTGAGGTAGTTGATCTATCACTAACACAACCATGCTGTTCATCGGCTAGGTATGACGATAAAGGGAAAGAAATGTATTTAACAATGGACCTCTCAAAGACCTTAGCAAAATTTGAAATTATTGAAATTGGTCTATAATTTTTTATATCATTTTTTTCACCAGACTTAAAGACAGGAACAATTTTTGTTATTTTCCAAATAGTTGGAAAGTGGCCAGAGGTAAGCATTTTATTAAAAAGAAAGCAGAGTGGTTGATTTAATAAGCTGGAACAAGACTTTAAAAAGAAGCTGGGTATCTCATCCACACCTGCTGTGTTTTTATCACTTAGTGAAATCATGGCTCGAGCTACATCAATTGGTGATAAGAGGAAATCAATTGAAGTATTAAAATTAGTGTTTACATTCTCTTCGTCAGGTTGTCGGTATACACTAGCAAAGTATGTAGCAAATGAGTTGACAATTTCCTGACAATTATTATAAGTTTGATCATCCAAATTCATAGAGTTGGGGATACGAAGTGGTTTCTTATTTTGATTAAAAAACTTCCAAAATTGTTTTGGGTTAGAGACGAAACCAGATTCAACTTTGTCATAATAAAGTTTTCTGCTGTCAATAATTCGTTTTTTTATGCTTGCGGTGAGGTATTGGACTTGTTCTTTAATTTTCTGAGATTTTGTTATTTTATTTCTACGAAACATACGGTTTTTAAGTTTAATATCACTAATGATATCTTTAGTGAATCATTCTGGGTATTTACAATTAATGATACTAACGTCCGAATAATAAGGAATAAATTTCTGGAATGTGTTCAAAATTTTTTGTTCAAGGTATAAACACGCCTCATTAATATCATCAATATTTTTTAAGGGGGGAACACCAGTTGTAACTCAAAAAATAATGCTTTTTTCAAGAATATTTTCCAAAAGAACAATGAATCTTTTTAAAGAATACTATTTATTAGTTAAAAGTACATGTAAAAAGCTGTAATTTAAAAGAAAAAAAAAATTTTTTTAACAAAAACTTTTGGAGATATGAGCCATTGAAGTGGCGTCTTAAGAAAAAAGGCGAATTGCGGTGACCAGCATTCTGCAAGTATACTTCGTCTGAAATACAAAAATGAAATTGATTTACATTTATTATAAGATTATCTAGTTCGTGATCGAAGGATTTAAAAAAAAAAAAAAATTTGACAAAATGGCGACCTGTCAAAGTCAAAAGTATGATTTTCGTTAAAAAAATACGGTCGATTTTCAGCTATATAAAAAAAAGTTTTGCATAAAAAAAAAAATCCTTCGATCACGAACTAGACTTATATGTGTAAATGAAGCACACTAAATTTTAAATAAATCGGTTTAATGGTATTCGAGTAATCGTGGTCACCGACTTGGAAAATGTCATTTTGAGAAAAACGCATTCAAAGTTTCAACTTACTTTTTTTTGTTCAGAAGAAATTTTGTTTC